TTCGTTAATGGTTTTCTCAAAAGACAGTGATCTAGACAAACGTATAGAACGCATTCATCTGCGAAATCACCTTACCAATTCATCAAGGATAAATCGACATCTTTCTCATTCGATCATTCAAATTAAAGTGAGTAAACTTGGAAATCACACAATCATTTCCGATAACGTAGTCTCTCAGTGATCAGCCGAATTTCAGCTTAGTAAACTTGAGTGTATCTGGCGCAATTTTTACAACTACAAGAAATGATGTTGATATTCCTCCAGACATGCTGAACACAATTAGTTGGTCACCTATCAATTTCAACAGTTCCAGAATGAGCCAATAATTGTTGAAAATGCCCACTCAAACAGGACTCTCAGTGATCAGCCGAATTTATACTGGATTAAACTATGGGAAAATGAAGGGTAAAACCGTCAAATTTACCATCTCATAGAGGTTTATCATTTTTGTACAGGAATAGAATCTTGGAGGAACGGGGGGGGCTTAGTAATACTATTACCATTTCATCAAACCGAGGTCATATAGCTCACGTTGTAGAGCTCCCGCTTCGCATGCAGATGATGCAGGGATCAATCCCCTGTGATGTTTCATTTTGTACCAGAATTGCAAGAGTGAGCCATGAATGGAATTTCTGTTACCATTGTTTGAAGTTTACATGTTGCACCACCAGGTTGCTGCTACTCAATACACAATGGCAGAACAAAAATACGACCACAAGTATGGCAGGATTGGCTTTGGTCCCATCATCATTGCTTTGGTCGTTGTAGAGCCGGATTTGGCTCTTGTCACGTGTGTGCGTAACGTTCGTTGAAGGATGCCAAATGCTATGGCAGCGGATGGAATGGTGTGTTGCTTCTTGATCACGTCGCTCACTGCGGCTGCAATCTCGTCGGGTGTGTACAGGGTTCTTGGCGGCATTTTTCAAGGTTGACACACTTGTTGCCTCTGATTTCTAATGTATATTCCCACCATAAAATTATGAGGGGTTTAGTTGTAGGAGTAACGAATTTTACAAATTTCTTGCGATTCTATTGGGTGATAGAGCTCGGCTGATCACTGAGAGTTCGGCCGATCACTGAGAGCCGACGTTAACATTGCATTTCGTCCAGCAAGGACTAAGTATAACAACGAAATGAGACGTCATCACTTTCAAACACCACAAAGTCAATATCTCGAAAAAACAACTACAAACATTGCATGTATTTCGCGGAAAGTGCCACCAAGTCAATCATACTTTTCGGTAAATTTTGCGCGAAAATGCGTTAGAGAGGCGTCCCAGGCAAGTCATTATCAGAAAAATTTCTCTTCAATGGTAAGTGTGGCCCTTACAAATGTGCATATAAAGTTTCACCTCTCAAGGTGGAAACAGCCATGAGCGAAACTGATACTTGAATAGCCATATTTCGTCGAGTGAAAAGAGAAGGCAAAGCGTTCTGTTATAGTGAAGAAGCATCGCGAAAAACGTAAATTGCGGTTAGGCACATTTTTGCCGAGTGGTGAAAATGTCCATTTTGATTCGGACTCTGAATTTCACCATAGCGGCGAAGAGAGTTGATTCTTTGAATAGGAATTGTGTAATCAATTTCATTTCATTATGTTTCTCCAGCATGACAGTCCGCTTCACAAAACGACTTCGACTATACAAAACCACTCGTGACAATTGGAAATGACCGAGTCTCTTACGTAAGAGCGCATCACACTATTTTATGCAAAGATGTTTACAATATCACATCACGAATCTCGAACACACAGCGCATCATACCAGTGACCCATAATTGGTTGGGTGGTCTATTGTCATTATGCTGATGATTTTGTGTTTATGCAAGATGGAGCTTCGATTCATACATCAAAATACACGAAACAATTTTTGTCTGATGAAATAGTTGCCCTATTTGACCACCTATCGCAATCACCTGGCCTAAATCCTATTGAGAACCTTTGGGGCATTCTTGCTCGCAGTGTTTATCAAAATTGCCTTCAGTTTCGAAGGGTTATGGACCTCAAGATAGCTGTCATCGACGCATGGCCCGGAATCAGCCCAGACCTCATTGTAATGCTCATAGATTCATGTGGCGCGCGGTGTACATGCATAGTGGGTGTCAAAAGTACTTCAAGTATTTATTTGATGTAACGTGAGCAATCTGTGATTCGCCGAATTATGTGTGACTTAGGCGGATAAGCCAATAGAATGTAGTATTTGCAGTGACTGGTCAAAATAAAATCCTGAATGAAACAAAACCAACCAAACATGCTGGAGAGAAAATACTTTAATGTATATAAACCTAAAAAAATTGAAATCGACATGTCGCCAAAAACGCCATACACGACGCCAATGCCGTCGAGGATGTAATCGCCAAGGTTCATGCGGTAATCACTGCTGTCAAAGCATACGGAATCCCTCAGCGTACGATGCGATACCACATCGCAACGACCAAGTCCATGGACCCATCTCCAATCAGGGAGATTGGTGACAAATGAAGTGTGCAACAGTCTGTCGACATCTGGTGCATACTTTAATATGCGATACCTGCCGAGGTTACTGACGACGTGTGGACGGGGGTATGCAAATGTCAGCGAGTAATGTGCCATTTCATTACGTGCAAAGTTTCGATCATGTCAACAAAGGCATCATCCATCACGAATGCATTTGTCAGCACTGAATTGTTCCCGCATCGCTGGAAAAATGATGAAGCGGCTAACAAAATTCAAGCGAGCCCAACAGGAGATCAAGGATAATTCCTTATTCTTGTGAAATGCTTATAGTAATTTTACCAAAGCATCAACACTGGCGGTCGCAGCAATGTTCCAGCGCACACTGACGATCTGGCATATCGTACATCGACGCCAGGGTATGAACCCTGTATCACCCCACCACGACATCGTATCCCTCTCACATTGTGTAAGTTGTGAACCTTTCAACTATTGCAGGATGCACGAAGAACTCGCTGATCGCACACCACGATTGACTGAACTGGATTTTCCACTTAAAAGTGAACAGACTATTATTACTTCAAAATAAATGTTTTTTGCAAGAACTACATTTGATATGTTTGTTTTGTTGTGCCAGCGCCACAACTGATTTTTGAATACTTTAATCATATGCGACTTTAGGCAAATCACTGATTTTCTATATAAGTGGCTCACTTCTATATTTTTTCTATGGTTTACACTAATACAGGCAATGACAGAACGGTTCGCCTATCAAATTTCGTACAGATATAACTACAATTTTTTTTTACTAGTAAAACTTGGTAGACTACATCTAGGCGCTTGATTAGCCAGTCATAAATATTTTCCCACTTGTGGTAGGGCAATAAAATATGAGTCTAATTTTAAGTGCCCATTGTTGTGTATTAAAATGGAAACGCAACCTCGATTTGATCGCGCTTCACATCTTCCAAGGTCAAGGCCAACGAACTCATGAAATTTGGAGTGACTATAAATTTGTCGTTAGAATTTAGCATCCCGCGCACAACTAGATGAAAATGGGTAGAGTATCGGTCCAATTATCTTGATTATGATGAAACCAGCAACTGAAAAAGTTCGAGCGAAGAGAACGCCGCGACGAATTTCCAAATCCAATAAGCACAGAAAATCTCATCCAAGAAATTCGACTCCATAATAGTGCATTCAGAATGATACAGTTCATCAACTGGCTTAATCAACACCAAATGAACTGGCTAAGTGCCTGGCATTCGCGCAAGAAGCCTGTATCTGGCTAAGCAAGAATTCCGGATCAGACTTCGTCACCTCCTTCTGCACTACGTGTACAATATTTAAACGACGCAGCTTTTCCCGACATTTTAATACAATATCAAGGTTTAACTCCGATATCGCGAATTTAAAAGTGCTAAACATGTTTGATTGGCTAGAATATGAACCGTATTTCGAAGTTGCTCGTCCAATCAGGTGATTCTATTGATGATTTTCACGAAGTCCATTAGGGACACAATTCCGTTGTTGCCCCGTATCTGCTTGTATCGTGGTAAAATAACTTGAATCGCAGATCTCGAATTTGTATTATCCTCAGCATGGAGGTTGTTCGTTGTAGAGTTATGCATCCAAAGTTGCTCAAATTTCGGGCAAACGATTGATTGTTCACGATATGAATACAAAGCCCACCTTGTCTTCGATGTCGAGGGGAATTCTGGATTCTGGTAGACAAGAGCTCTTCGAAGTTCGATGAGTCTTTTAGCCTATCACAGTGCCTTCACCTAATTTTAATTACTTCAAGGGGAAATAAGAATATACAAGTCGCATATAGTTTCAACTTCGTGGTACTACGTCCAATGACTTCCCATTCTATGAATAAGAGGTAGATTCGAACGCTTGTTCATAGATCGATAAATTGGTGAGAGAAAAAGTGTGCAACATTATCAAATACAGTATGTTACTGGAAGTAAATTCGTGGCCAGTGATTAATCCTATAATCAAAAACACAACTATTTTGAAGTCATCGGCACAAGTGAAATGATGGTATCTTTTCTCCCTCTGCCATGATGTTCGGAAATTCCTGAATGTTTTTCGAGAGCGTTGATTAGACACCAGAATGACCACAAACCACCCAATAATTGATTAGGGTACACCAAACCATCTTTAGCCAACCAACATAAGTAAGCAGATAGAGCATACATTAACACAAGATAGACAACATGTCACGGCGATCAAGTCTACACGGCTCACAAACAGCCCAACTCACATCTTGCACCATAAACCAAGGTGTCGCACTGCTTGAGAACCTCGATCAAAAGTGCCAAACCAAGCGCTGACGGTACTCGACTGCTCGTGCCGAACTGGACCAGGACCCTGACTCTATTAGCCGAGTGTACGACTCCATCCTACAGAAGAGAGGAGCCGAGGGCATGGTGACGGTAACGGACTTCGGTGTTCAACCTACTCTGGGCAGATGTGCGATACTTTCAGCCGGAATTAGAACGTCGGCTGGGGTCGGAAGTCCGGTATATCAAGTCGCAATCAACTGCTCATGCTGCTCACGTCAATGAAACACTACGGATCATGGGACGTTGTCGCCGCAGTGTTCCCACAAAAGAGTCGAACTATTCAAAAGCGCGTCATCAGTTTTGTTAAAGTGCTCCACTTCTACCTTCTGCAAAAGTAAGTGTCCTCGATTGGGGAGAAGTGGTCCATGAGCCTGGACCAGCGGACAGCAATTCCCGTTTGCCCGCTAGGGGACCGATGTGACATTCCAACAAACTAACACCCCAACTGGCAGCTACACAGAGAAGAAGACGTACTATAGTGAGAATCATGCGCTGAACAGCCACGAGGTCGAAGTCTCCGTGCTGCCCAACGGCCTGGCAATCATCTCCACGAAGTACTTCAAAGGCAGCCTGTCGGACATGGCCACCTTCGACCAGAACATCGACTTCTACTTCGGAACTTTGGCCAAGCACCCAAACGAAGACAACCTTGCAGACCCCAACTGAGCGTAGAAATCTACGGGTGATTCTTACCATGGACGACATGCACACGAATGCATCGCCAGTGACCGCGCCATTGTCCAGAACACATTCCCCTTGACTCTGTGGTCTGTCTGTGGCGCGGCCAACCCATGGAATCGTGAGCATTATGATGCGTGGTTTCAGACATGTTTGGCTGTGACGATGCTCTGGTCGAGTGCGCCCCGAGTCCAGCTCAACCTTGCTGAGGTCGGTTGCTGGATGTTGGATGGATTCGTACGGGACGATTGAGTACAGGACTACCTGAACGTCCTGGTAAATTGCTACTGTATTGAGGGGAACGAAGTGAATTGACTAGGAGGGTAATGAGAAGTAACCCAGTTTA